CTTTTAATGTACAAAGCTATCCATTGGTCAAGAAACTGCCCTTGCCTTGACTACTGAGAGTATGCTGTCCTAATCAGACAAGCAGAACACAAAAGAAGGCGACTGTCAAACTTTGCCAAGACAAGGTAGGCAGCCCTTCAAAATTCCTGCTTCACCGAAAACTCTATCAGATATTCTAGTCCTATAGGCTAAAGATGGGTGCCCCAACACTGCAAAGGGAACTTGGGTTAACTGTCTAGGAAGCCAGCTGTCCCTGCCATTTCTATAATTTTGGAAGTTGTTTGCTTTGCATTTCCTGTTTACTCAGGTAAAATTTTATCCTTCTCAGGTCTCTGATGGAGGCTGAAGACTAGATAGTTATACAGTTTTCTTTGTTACCAAATTCATAAAAGAAACTTACAAAAGAGATGTAAAGTTTATAAGGTTGAGAGACACAAAAGCTTAAGGTGTTTATTTAAAAAATGTTTTAAGGCCTAAAAAGATATTTTTAGGATGATAATGCAAGTTATGATAGAAAGTGAATTAGGTACAAAACTTTGAACTCACCAATAATAAATAAATAGGGTAAATAATAGAGTATTTTCTCTGAATTTGTCAAATACAAATGGACTGTACATTGTGAATGTAATCCTTACTTGGTAATTGTTCTTATTGTATATAGTTTTCTTTGTAAAAGTTATAACCTTTCCTTTATATTTAGAAAAAAAGGGGGACATGTTGCAGGATATTTGTTTATATTGTGTGAAGATGTTACTGTGATTGTTTTAATAAAGAGCTGAATGGCCTATAGCTAGACAGAAAAGAATAGGCAAGACTTCCAGGGAAAAAGAGGAACTCAGGAAGAATTTAGGTGTGCAGGAGATGCCGAGACACTGAGGAAGTTGGATGTACATTATGGAGGATAGGTAACTAGTCATGTGGCAGAACATAGATTAATAGAATCAGGTTAAGTTATAAGAGTTAATTGAGAACAAGACGAAGCTAAAGACTAAGCTTTCATGATTAATATTGCAAATTCAGGAAACAGAGTGATGAATGCATGCTGCTGCTTAGTTCCATTTCTCTACTTAAATAGTGCAATATCTTATCTGGGAATAAGGATAGTCTTCCAACCTCAACTAATGCAATTAAGATAACCTCTTACAGGTATGCCTAGAGGCCTATCTTCTAGGTAAGTTTAGATTCTGCCAAGTTGACAACTAACACCAAACATCACACTGTATTTGGAGACAATTTGCTGAGAGTGGCTGGTGCCAAAGACATGTTCTGCCCTGACTTAACTTGCCAAAGTTGTTACTGGAGCTTTCAGGCAAAAGCCTGGGTAGGTTCCACCAGCCCTAAAAGACTTATATAACTGTTCTCAATACATCAATTAAAAGATGTCTATTTGTAAAAAGCAGAGATATTTAGTCAATGTGATCAGAGGAACAGATGAATGGGTTTAATGATCCTAAGTCTCTTCCAGGGTGCCAACAGGAGCTATAGGTTTACACAGAGGAAAAATTATAATGCAAAGAAGATGTAAGATGTATGCATAACTAAGCAGTCCTGATCTAGGTGTGAGTTTAGGGATCATTGTCTTAGCTTCAGTCTTACAAGGTGTGTGGTGTTTGCTGTTGGTTGTTTTTTTTTACTCTTTGGGGGACCTATCACCCAGCTCCCAAATAAATTTACATGGAGGTTTATTCTTTCTTATAAATGCCCAGCCTTAGCTTGGCTTGATTATAGCCAGCTTTTCCTTTTCTTTTTTTTCTTTTTTTCTTTCTTTTTTTTTTTTTTCAGTTTTTCGAGACAGGGTTTCTCTGCGTAGCTTTGTGCCTTTCCTGGAGCTCACTTGGTAGCCCAGGCTGGCCTCGAACTCATAGAGATCCGCCTGGCTCTGCCTCCCGAGTGCTGGGATTAAAGGCATGCGTCACCACCGCCCGGCCTAGCCAGCTTTTCTTAAATTACCCTGTCTACCTTTTGCCTCTGGACTTTCATCTTTCTCTATTTCTGTGTACCATTTTTCCTTCTTACTCTGTTGTTGGTTGTGTAGCTGGGTGGCTGGGCCCTGGAGTCCTCCTCTCCTCCTTTTCTTGCTCTTTCATCTCCTTTGCTCTTTTTCTCCTTCTATGTATCCTCTCTGCCTGCCAGGCCTGCCTATCCTGTCTCCTGACTTGGTATTGACCAAGTTTGGGTTCTTTATTAGGTCAATTAGGTGTTTTAGACAGGCACAGTAATACAGCTTCACAGAGTTAAACAAATGCAACATAAAAGAATGCAACATATCTTTGCATCACTAAACAAATGTTCTAGAGCATAAACAAATGTAACATATCTTAAAATATTATTCTACAACAGTGGGTTGAAAGAAAATGGTCCCCAAAGGGAGTGGCACTATTATGAGATTTGGCCTTAGTGGAGGAGATGTGTTTCTTTTAAACCACCATATTCCACTCCCTGGCCCTCAAAGGCTTGTAGCCATATCATAATGCAAAATGCATTCAGTCCAGCTTCAAAAGTCCCCATAGTCTGTAACAGTCTCAAACTTATTTAAAAGTGTAAAGTTCAAAGTCTCTTCTGAGATTCATGCAATCTCTTAACTGTAATCCCTTGTAAAATCAAAATAAAAAAGCAGATCACATACTTCCAACATATAATGGCACAGTATTTCCTCACTATGCAAACTCCAAACTCTGAATCTCATGTCTGATATCAAAATGCTTTTCAGATCTCGAACTCCTTTCAGCTTTGTTGACCGCAACATACTTCTTCCTCTTGGGCTGGTTCCACTTCCTGTTAGCAGTTTTCCTCAGCAGGTATCCCACAGCTCTGGCATCTCTAACATCTTGGGGTCTTCAAGGCAATCCAGGCATCACCTTCACAGCTTCACACAATGGCCTCTCTAGGCCTCCATTTAGGGACACTCCTGACATATGCCTGGACTCAGTGGCTTTTCTTAGTCTCAGAGGAGAGTTCCATAATGCCTTTCTTCTATCCTTGAAGCCAGAACCACATGGCCAAAGCTAAGAAGTTCTGCTGCTTACTGGGGCTGGAACATGGTCCCCTTGTTCAATTACTTCTTCACCAGCTTTCTGGGTTTTGTTTTGTTTTGGTTTTTTGAGATAGGGTTTCTCCATGTAGTTTTGGTGCCTGTCCTGGATCTCGCTCTGTAGACCAGGCTGGCCTCCAACTCACAGAGATCCACCTGCCTCTGCCTCCCAAGTGCTAGGATTAAAGGCATATGTCACCGCCGCCCAGCTAGCTTTCTGTTTTTGATAGTTTCCTTCACTGCCTGACCTTGGCTGCCCTGAAATTTGCTCTGTAGACCAGGCTGGCCTTGAACTCGGAGATCTTTCAGTTATATCTTCACCAGCTTTCCGTTTTCAATGATTTCCTTCACTACCTAAGCTTGGCTGTTCTGGAACTTGCTCTTTAGACCAGGCTGGTGGTGGTGGCCATGTTGGAGGAGTGGCAGACAGCAATAGAACTTATGGAATATAACCCAGCAGATGGCACAAGTACGATGGGTGAGCCCTGGAGAGGCAAAGCCCCAGAGGGATTGTCTCCAGAATGACCCTTGCTTCTGCTGCGCTTTCTCCTGCTTTGCGCTATTGTGTTCTTACTGTATTTGACATGGTGTGATTATTATGTGAAAGACTCCCACTGCATCTAGTATTATGTGTTTGTTTCTTGGAAAAATACCCCTCCTCACTGGGCAATTTACTTGCTGATTATAATGAAGATTTTTTTTTTTTGTTTTTGAGACAGGTTCTTTATTTTTTTTTAAAAAAAATTAGATGATTATTTTTTTTAGATTTGTTTATTTATTTATTTATTTATTTATTTATTTATTATGGATACAGTGTTCTGCCTGCATGCCAGAAGAGGGAATCAGATCTCATTACAGATGGTTGTGAGCTGCCATGTGGTTGCTGGGAATTGAACTCAGGACCTCTGGAAGAACAGCTAGTGCTCTTAACCACTGAGCCATCTCTCCAGCCCAAAGAGATGATTTTTATAAGAGCAATGACACTTGGTTGGATTGATGATTTAAAGATACAGGTAGTTAGGACAGTTAGTAAAGATGGTTAGGGAAAAGGTTTAGGTAATTCTGCCAATTGCTCCAATAAGAAATACAAGAAAGATAAAAATAAGGAAAGAAGTCACCGCCCCCATTGCTAGATCTGAGACTTGCTGAGGACAGAAAGTAAGAACAAGGAAGTTTCATGCATTATAGACCCACGAACTCTGCCTGTGGAAAAACAGGCTGATGATCAAAAAAAGCAATTACATCCCTACACCAAGGTTAGGTCTGAGTTCCTTGGTCATGTAGCTTATAGAATTAGTCACAGGTTTTGGTGTGCGCCTTGAAAAACAAAGTTGTCAAAGGAAATCAAATGGCCCTATTGTGTGTAAAGACAAAAGACATATAGATGGTTAGCTGAGCACTTGAGCAAAACTTTGTAGAGTCGAAACAGGCTAGGAATCTGCTGTGCTGAAACCACAGACAGCTGCCTGCCATTTGAAGGAACTGGCGGAAATACACTTGGCTTGCTTAAACCTTGTCAATTAGTAATAAAAGAATCAGTGCTTTGGGATGAAGATGTTATGGTGGGAAAATTAATACAAAGGAAAATGTCTAACTACTTGTGAGCATCTAAGGAAAACATGTAACGTGATCATAATGTGATTTCTTCCTGTGTAAAGGTTTTGTTTTTGCCAAATATGTAACTTGTGGTTGTGGGGTAATCTTTTCTTGCATAGAAATTTTTGTCTTAGGTGGTATAAAAAGGATAAGAGAAAAATAAAGAACAGAAGAAGAATGAGAAAATAAAATGAAGAATTAAGCTTTGCCCCCTCAGATAAGTTTCCTGTGTGTGTTTAGTATTCATTAGTATTCACTGACTCTACGTCTCCTCTCACCTTCTCTGACCTGTTGAAGCTGATTGGCCTCAAACTCAGAGGTCTGCTGCCCTCTGCCTTCACAGTGCTGGGATTAAAGGTGTGCACACTACATCTGGTTCTAAGTTTTTCTTTAATTCCTTTTTACAAGCTGGAAACTTCTCTGGGTGGGATCTTGCCCCGAGGTCACCACTTCCTTTATTCCATTCTTCGTCTGTTCATCTTGAACACAGCTCCATTCCACATAACTCCACTCCTGGTGCTTCTTTGCTCCTCAGATTGTTCTACACGTTGTATTTTTTCTTGCTCAGCTTGCTCCTTTTCATTATAAATCTTCATTAGAGTTACCACTAATAACCACATAACAGAGTCTATACTAGGCTGTTTTGAGATTTCCTCTGCCAACGGAATTAATCCAAAACTCTTCACTTTAGCCTTAGGCAGACAAGGGCAAAAAGCTGCCATATTTTTCATCAAAACATCACAAGAATGATCTCTAGGCAACAAACTAAAATTCTTCTTCTCTGAAACCTCTTGCTCCAGGCACCCACAGTTTAAATCACACTCAGCATCACTGTCTTCCATGTTCTACTAGGATGGTCCATTAAGCGGCACTTAAAGTGATCAACTGCTTTTCCAATCCACAGTCCCAAGGTCCATAGTCCTTCAAAGAAAAGCATGATCAGGCCTATCACAGCAATGCCCCAGTCCCTTGTACCAACCAACTTCTGTCTTAGTTAGGGTGTCTATGCTGTGAAGAGACACTGTGACCATGGCAACTCTTATAGAGGAAAAACATTTATTTGGAGTGATTTACAGTTCAGAGGTTTAGTCCACTATCATCATGGTAGGACATGGTGATGTTCAGGCAGACGTGGTGCTGGAGGAGTTGAGAGTTTTACATCTTGATATGCAGGCAACAGGAAGTAGTCTGTCTCACTAGCAGTAGCTTGAGTATGGAAACCCTTATAGTGACACACTTCCTCCAACCAAGCCCTGCCTTCTAATAGTGCCACTCCGTTTGGGGGCCATTTTCTTTCAAATCATCACAGTGTCATTGTGGGGGTGGACTTTGAGATCTCCTATGCTCAAGCTATGCCCAATGGGACAGTGCACTTGCCTGTGGATCAAGATGTAGAACTCTCAGCTCCTTCTCCAGCACCATGTCTGTCTATAGGCTGCCATGCCTCCCACCAGGATGATAAGAGACTAAACCTCTGAACTGTACGCCATCCCAATTAAATGTTTTCCTTTATAAGAGTTGCCATGGTCATGGCGTTTCTTCACAGCAACAGAAATCCTAAGTTAGGCAACATGCTATGAACAGACCTTCTTCCAGCTCAAGCAATGGTTTTTCAGCAATGCCAACTCCAGGGTTTCTGTACTCTTAAGGCTGCCCTATGAGTACAGAAGTACCATCTCTACAGCACAGGAGGACATCTGGCCTGGCTTTTCCACACACAGGTAACTCAAGATTTTCTCCTCATGGTTGGAAAACAGTTGAAGCTGCTATGTTTTTGAATTACAATCTGTCCTAGAATTTGGTTTTGACTTTGGCACTGAGGCTCAAATCCAGGGCCTCATATATGCTAAGCGACCTCTCTGTTAGTGAGCCACATCCCCACTGTCAGGTCCAAAGCTCCCCTATGGTGCTATTCTATTTGTACTGAAATGTGATTTTAATTGTGTGTTAATAAATAAAGTTGTCCAGGGGTCAGAGCTATTAGAGCCATAGAAAGAGTGTGGCGGTGGTGGCGCACGCCTTTAATCCTATAGATCTCTGTGTGTTCAGGGATACAGCCAGCATTGGAGACATACGCCTTTAAGACCTAGAGGGCTGTACTTACAGGCAGTGACAAGGCAGTCATGTGTTTGGGTTTACAACCAATGAGAAGGCAGAACAGAAAGACTATTTAAAGACATACACACAGGAAATAGCTCTCTTTCGGGAAGCTAGGAGCACCGCAGGAGGAAGAGTAAGATTTTAGCTCTGAACTCTGACCTCTCGGCTTTCTCCTTTACATTGGTTCTGTGTTTCTTATTTAATAAGACGGTTGGTTACATCTACACTCCCCTTTTCCTGAAAGGGCAGTGCTACTGACATTGTCTTAAACAGAAGGACTGTGGCCAGAAGGATTGTTAACAGGTAAACAAGCCTAAAGGTGGGTTCCTCTTGACCTTCCCCCAAAGGTAAATGACCTCAGGCAGGGGCACCTCATTCCAGATCAATCCCGGCAGCCTGTGTTAACTCAGATTTCTACCCTGCTGACTATCATGAAACATCTGCTTGCTTTTCCTGCCAGTTTGCTCTTCTCTTTGCCCTCCACAAGAGATGGCCTTGGCAGTTGAATTCCCATAAATCTTTCTGCCCAGAGTAGTCTAGTTGGGCAGTTTCTCTGTGCCATCGCTTATAACCAGCATTCCTAGGTTTTTAAATGAAGTGAAATAAAAAAATTGTGGTTCAATTATCCCAGTTACTATTTGAGGTGTCCTATAGCTTCAAGATCAAGTAAGATTTGCAAAACACCTATCAGATATAGGGAATCACTTTTTATTTCACATCATATAAACAGTGGAGAAAAGTATGGACTTCATCATCCCTGTGACTGAAGTGATTAATTCTAGGTAGTAGACCAGTTCCAATCACTTAGAGGTTACAGACTCACATCCAGTTTCCTCCTACGGTAATAATACTTTCACAATCCAGTTCAGTCCTTTTGTCTAAAGTCTAGGATTAGAATGTTTAAAGAAGGATGTGTTTAGCTAAAGAAAATCTGTAAGGCTTACCTTCATGATCCTGTTAATCAATCCAAAGCAGTACATTTTCAGTTCCTGGTATCATGAGCTGTTTGGAGCAAGGGCTCTGATATACAACTGCCTTATGTCTGCTGCCCAGATGAACCTAAAAATCACATTTGGGAGAGCCACAAATATCACAACCTGCCAGAGATTTCATTTTGGATGTACATTTAACTTATTTTACAGAGTGACCATAAAGATTAAATAGCATAGGAGAACAGTTTAACTGTATTAATAGGGAACCCTAAATAAGTATTGTTTAAGCCACAATACTTTCCTGCATAATTTTCAAGGCCAATGATGAACTGGTCTTTGGTGAACAGTGATGATAAAAAGTAACTGAGGAAGCCCTGCAGAGAAAGCATAGGATTGTAAGTGAGCAAAGGAAATGTTTCAGTTTTCTTATCTGGTAGCTCCTGATTGAGAATATGATCCAACATGTGGATTAGATGATTCTGATACCTGTTAATTGAAGTTCCTAATCTCTGTTAGAAGAAAGAAATTCACTGATTTCTGTGGTGATATATTGTGTACCCTAATAAAATTTGCCTGAAGATCAGAGAGACAAAGGAACAAGCCACAGCTACCACCTCTTACCTCGAGGACTCTTCAGCCTGAAAAGGCTTCAGTTCCTGTCTCCTCAAGCCTTATATACCTTTCTCCGCCCAGCCATCACTTCCTTCTTAGTGCTGGGATTAAAGTTGTGTGACTCCCAAGTATTGGGATTAAAGATGTGTGCCACCACTGCCTGGTTCTGTTTCTCTCCTAGACTGAGTTAATCTCATGTAGTCCAGGGTGGCTTTGAACTCACAGAGATCCGGACAGATCTCTGCCTCCCGAGTGCTAGGATTAAAGGTGTGTGTCATCACTGTCTGGCTTCTATGTTTAATCTAGTGACTTGTTCTGTCCTCTGATCTTCAAGCAAATTTTTATTAGGGTACACAATATATCACCACAGATTTCTATGAATTTTACAAGAGAAAGAAATATGCATAATTAATCAGTCCTGATATAGGCGTGGGCTCAGTGACCATTATCTTAGCTCCAGTCCTGCAAGGCACCACCACCAACCTTCCTAACATACCTTACAAGTAACTAAAACTATTAGGGGCTCATCTGCATCTCAAAACTTCTTTGAGAATGCAAATTTCTCTTAGGTTAAATATTTTATATGTTACTGTGGAATTTTTCTCTTCTTGAGACAAAATCTCAAGGTGTCTGGGCTAGGCTTTAAACTACTTAGCCCGAATCATCCTGGACTTCTAGTCTTCCTGTCTCTGCCTCTTGAGTGCAGGGTTGACAGGTGTGCACATGCCATGAAGCACAGTTTTTTGTTTTTGTTTACTATGGTGGGATATCAAACCCAGGGCTTCCTATAATTTAAGTAAGCACTCTACCAACTGAGCTACACCCCCAATCCTACAATTTTCGTTTTTAGGCAGGGTCTCATTGTGTGGCTGTCCTGGAATTCACTAAGTAGACCAGGTTGGCTTTGAACTCAGAGAGATCAATCTGCCTCTGCCTCCTGAGTGCTGGGATTAAAGGCCTGTGCCATCATTCATGCCTGGCCCTACTGTAAATTTCTTATACTACTAGCTCTTTTTTAGATGCTCATTTCATTTTTAAAGATTTATTTATTTATTGTATATGAGTGAGTGCCCTATCTGCATGTACACATTTATGCCAGAAGAGGGCTTCGAATCCCACTATAGATAGTTGTAAGCTACCATATGGTTACTGGGAATCGAACTCAGGACCTTTGGAAAAGCATCCAGTGCTCTGAACCACTGAAACATCTCTCCTACTTCATTTTTAGAAAGTGATATATATTCATAATTTTTGGACAATACAGATAAAGTCAAAGCATTATTATTATTTATGGATCTGTGTACACATCGTATTCCTGTCACTAGTTTGTAAACTATTAAACACCTGCGGACCCAATACTTCATTTTTTTTCCATTCCCAGAACCAAGATGCCATACTATCTAAAAGAAGACCAACAGTCTGCTAATTGAGTAAACAAATGAATAATTTAAAAAATAAAACTGCTTTCTCTGTATGAAGCTGATCGTTATGAAGTACTTTAAGTGTTTGTTTTTATTTACATGTGCATGTCTCTGTGTATGTGCACATGTGTGCAGGTGCCTGTAGAGACCAGAAGAGGGCAGAAGACCCTCTGGAGCTGGAGCTACAGGAGGTTGTGAGCCACCAGATGTGGGTGATAGTACCCATACTCCAATCCTCTGCATTGTCTGTCAGTAAGCCCTCTTAACCACAAAGCCATCATTTCAGTCCCATGATGACTAATTATAAATGGACAGGGCTGCAGGGCCACTGCCAGAACTAAGAGGTTTAGGTAGGGCTACTGCCACTTGTTTTAATCCTTTAAAAAATTTAAAATCATTTTTAAAAATTGCACTTATTTATTTACATGTGTGTATGTGCGCACATGTGCAAGCACCTCAGTATACATGTGGAAGTCAGGGGACCACTTGTCAGAGCCTTTTCTTTCAGTCGTGGGTTCTGGAGATCAAACTCAGGCCGTCAGGCTTGGCAGCAGGAGCCTTTACTTGTGAGCAATCTTACTGAGGCCCCTACCACAGTTCTGGCTGTCAATCATTTTCCTTTATATCATTGGTAGGTGTGATGGGGATGAAATAAACACTCCTCTTAAGGTGCTTAAGATGTTTCTTGATTTTATTTTAAAATATTTTCTGTATTTAAAAATGGAAAAACTGTTTCAATGTCAGCCTAGTCTACAGAGTGAGTTCTAGGACAGCCAGGACTACACAGAAAAACCCTGTCTCAAAAAAAGCAGGAACTGTATATATAATGCACATTTATAGTCCAATTGGATAACAACTGGGGAAGGGATAGTTACAGTAATCCAAGGTTCTGTTTTAAGTAAATAAATAGATTAATATAATCACTTTCTCCTCTCAACTATATCTTGACTTCACTGCCCTTAATGGGATTAACATGTGAATTTTTGTTGTTGTTGTTGTTGTTGTTGTTTTTGAGACAGGGTTTCTCAGTGTAGCCCTGACTATCCTGGAACTCAATCTGTAGACCAGGCTGGCCTTGAACTCAGAGATTCTCTTGCCTCTCTCCAGTGCTGGGATTAAAGTCATGAGCCACCACTGTCCAGTAACTTGTGAAATTCTTAAAACCTAAAGCTTATGAAACGGTTTTGCTATGTAAACAGTACTAGAAAGTAATTATAATTTTCCACATTTTCTAATCTTTCCAGTACCATCTATATTATCTAAATGGATATGGGACCTAGTCATAGGCTAGGAACAGACAGAACATAGTCCAAAAATTAAAGAATGTCTTCTAGGCATTCACTTCCACTCTAGGAAGTGGGTGGTTTAGGATGGAATAGGGTCTCAGCAGTGTAAAAAAGAGGACATAGCATACTTGTAATTACCATTGAGTAGAGTTCTCAAAGTCCATAAAGGGTTAATCCATGAGGGACCAATACAAACAAGAAGAGGCAGCAAGGTCAGCAGCAAGTAGTCAGATAAAATAGCCTGTCAGAAGAAGGACAGGTGGCTGAATTGGGGGACATAATGGGATGTTGTCCTAAGGCTTTGGGAAATAAAATGAGCTGCCTGTTAACATGGAATAGGGCTTTTATAAGGCATTAAAGAATTGGTTCTCAGACTTCCAAATGCTTTAATACAGTTCCTCATGTTGTGGTGACCCCCAACCATAAAATTATTTTTGTTGCCACTTCCTAACTGTAATTTTGCTACTGCTATGAATTGTAATGTAAATTATCTGTGTTTTCCAATGGTCTTAGGCGACCCCCTGTGAAAGGGTCAATTGACCCCCGGGTTAAGGACCACTGCGTTAAAGGCTGCACTGTCCATCTTCTGGGAATTGGCATTCTGACAGGCATTTTGAGTAATGACGATAAAGCTACAAGTGACCAAGTCTGTCAAACTCACACATACAAAATAATAGAAGTCAGCGGCAGCGAGGTGACTTGATAGGTAAAGGCGTTTGCAGAGTGTCAATGCAAGCCTCAAGACCTAACTAAGTTCAATTCCTGCAACCCATGTAAAGGTAGGAAAGAACGGATTCCATAAAGTCACCCTCTGACTCGACATGTGCTCCGTGGCTCCTGTGCCTACACACACACACACACACACACACACACACACACACACACACACACCAAAAAATAAAATAAAAGTAGAAGACAAATTTTTAAAAATAAATAGCAACATAAATTGACGTGGAATATTCTACATATGAGTACACTTTGGTTCGACCTCTTTATACCACAGTCAGGTCAGGAACCTTTAAAAGATGATGTAACCGCTGGGCAGTGGTGGGGCATGGCTTTAACCCCAGAACTCGGGAAAGTGGATCTCCCTAGTTCGAGGACAGCCTGGGCTACAAAGCAAGTTCCAGGACAGTCAGAGCTGCAGAGAGACCCTGTCTCAAAAAAGCCAAGAATCCTGTAACCATCCAGAAAGTCTGAAAAACCCGCTTCGGCTCTCAAGCCTTCGGGGCTCTCCGCGCGTCCCTGGCCCAGGAAAAGCTGACGATGGTGTGGAAACCGGGTCAGCCGCAGCGTTCGGGAAGGCCCGGATTGTCAACAGACGGGCAAACTGGGAGAACGCTGTGAACGGAGAGAGAACGCTGTGGGAGGCCCACGGCGTGAGCGCCCATCTCCCGCCCCACACCCTCCTCTGGGGTGGCGTGAGAAGTGCGGACGGACCTGGGTCCCGCTGCCAGAGGCTCCTGTCGGTCCCTCCCTCAGCGTGGGCGGCGGCCCTGTCAGTTTCCCTTCCGCGCAGGCAGGCTGTCTGCCCCTCCCTCCGCGCCCGCCCGCCCGCCCGCCGCAGCCGAGGCCGTTTCTCCTCAGCCTAGCGCGCGCCACTGCGCAGGCCATGTGGGGGCGGGGCCACAAAGGTGAGGGGCGGGTCCAATCGTCCGGGCGCCCTCAGACCCCGCCTTCAGGGCGGGCATTTGGGTTTATTCTTCTACTCCAGTCTCACTGCCCGATACAAGAGTCTAACGTTTCAATTCCAAGGTTTAATTTTTTTTTTTTTTAATTTTATGTGGTCGGGCGTTTTGCTTGCTTGTATATTTGGGCACCACGTACATGCTTAGTGTCCACGGAGGGGCATCAGATAGATCTCCTATGATGAGTTGTGAGACTGAGCTTTTAGACACTGAACCGTCTCTCCGCTCCTCAAATGTATATTTTGGATGGCCAGGGACCGGAAACTGGATGGCTCAGAGACCCAGGGAAAGAACAAACATGACTTGTAGGACCCTAGCAAGCCCGGGCAAATATGGCGCTGGCAGACCTTGCCTTATCCTCCTTCCCTCTCCCTTATAAACCACAGATTATACATACCCCTAAAGCTAGCCATCAAGGTCTATTCCCATATTTGGATATGTCCTTTTTTTTTTTTTTTTTTTTTTTTGAGGGGGGGATTTTTCGAGACAGGATTTCTCTGTGTAACATTCCTGGCTGACCTGGAACTCGCTTTGTAGACCAGGCTGGCCTCAAACTCACAGAGATTCACCTGCCTCTGCCTCCCAAGTGCTGGGATTAAAGGCATGCACCACCATCACCCGACTTGGATATGTTTTTATACCAGACTCATTCCTAAGGATGACTACTGAAGTCCAGCGATCAAAGCCCCTTTTGGTTTACCTAATTAACATGCCCAATCAAAATAAACCATCACATCCTAAGCCCACTCTAACACAGGCATCCCCTTTTCTTCTTTTCTTAAAAATTATACCTGCAAGATCACTTGCTGTTTTTTTCAACACTTAATAAAGGGTCTCTCTGTGAAGACAGGTGTTTAGGTGTAGTTTGTGCCTACTCTGGGTTTTGGGTCCACGAAGGAGCTCCCACTGTGCAAGGGTTTCTTCACAACTGACCACAAAAAAAGTCACTGAAATGATTCCTAACGATATTCTGCTATACTCATAGATCAGTGCCTAGCCCAATCATCATCTGGAAGGCTTCCTCCAGCAGCTGATGAGAGCAGATACAGAGATCTACAGTCAAACATTAGGCAGAGCATGGGGAAAGAAAAATTGTAGGAGCTAGAGGGGCCAAGGACACCAGAACACAGCCCACAGCATCAACTAAGTAGGGTTCATAGGTGCTCACAGGGACTGGAGCAGCAATCACAGAGCCTGCATGGGTCTATGCTAGGTCCTCTGCATATACGCGTGGTTGTTTAGCTTAGGGTGTTTGTGGGACTCCTAACAGTGGGAGTGGAGGAGTCTGACTCTTGTCTGCTCTTGAGACCCTTTTCTTCCTACTGGGTTGCCTTGTTTATCCTTGATAAGGCTAACCCCTCGATGAGGGTTTGTGCCTAGTCTTATTGCATCTTGTTATGCTGTGTTCAGTTGAATCACTGGGAGGCCTGCTCTTTTCTGAAAGGAAATGGAGGAGCAGTGGATCTGGAACAGAGGGTAGGTAGCCATGGGGGGAAGGACTGGGAGGAATGGAGGGAGGAGAGGCTGTGATCAGGATGCTTGTATAAGAATAAACAAAAAGAAAAAAATTATTATAGGGGAAGGAAGGAGAGAGCAAGAGAGAGGGAGTGATGTGGTGGTGGGGGAGGAGAGAGGGAGAGGAGAAAGAAATGGGAACTGCCTGGGCTTTTGAACCCTCAAGCCCACCCTCAGTGACATACCTCCTCCAGCAAGACCCTATCCTCCTTAATCCTTCCCAAACAGTTCCACCAACTGGGGACCAATTATTCAAATATATGAGACTAGGGGAGACATTTTCATTCAAACCACCACATTCATCTTATTTACTTGGGTTCTGGATCACACTCAGGTCACAAGGCTTACATGGCAACTGCTTTTACACAATGAGCTGTAGGCAGAGTTTTCCGTGGAGATCAGAGATCAGCTCTGCCCTGCCAACCACTCCCAAATGGCCACACTAAGATTTAATATTAATTATAAATGCTCAGCCAGTAGCTTAGACTCATTTAACTAGTTCTTAAACTTAACCCGTTTCTATTAATCTATGTGCTGCCCTGAGGCTCGTTTACCTCACATACATACTTCCCATTCTGCTTGCTTTGCACCTCATGACATCTTAAAACCCCTCCTGCTTCTTCTTCCCAGCATTCTTAGTCTGGTTCTCCTAACATTATTCTGCCTAGGTATAGGCCAGTGAGCTTCTTTATTAAACCAATCACAGTGACATATATTCACAGTGTAAAGGAATATTCCACATTTTCCCCTTTTGTCTAAATAAAAAAGGAAAGTTTTAACATTAATATAGTAAAATTATATACCACAAAAAACATCAAGTAAGAATCAGTTATAATATATAGTCCATTTGTATTTGGCAAATCTGGAGAAAATATTCCATCATCTATCTTATCTTTGTGAGTTGAAAGTTTTATACCTAACTTACCTTTTATCATAACTGAGGAAAACTTTAATTATCCAGTCTTCAACTCCATCAAAGATCCCAGAAAGGAGCAATGTTACCTACTGACAGGGACATCTGGCTGCCTGGACAGTCACCCAAAGTTCTTCTGTAACATTGGGGCATCCATCTTTGGCCTACAGGCCTAGTATATCTGGCTGACATTTTTAAGAAGCAGGGAATTTTGAAGGACTGCCTTACCTTGTCTTGGCAAAGTTTGGCAGTCTCTTTGTGTGTGTGTGTGTGTGTGTGTGTGTGTGTGTGTGTGTGTGTGTGTGTGTGTATGTCTTGCTGGTCCAGTTTGGACAGTATACTGTCAACAATTGAGGCAAGGGCAATTTCTCTGCCCAAATGGCTAGCTCCTGCCTTAAAGAAAGTACACTTCATATGGAGTTTCTTTGATATCCATCATCTTTGAAGTAAATTGGTGCTGCCAGGAGCAGATGTGTTTGTCATGAAAAGCCTTAGTGTAGCTAAAAGTTTTCCTGTGTCCCGCCCAATCCTGCAGCCACTCAGACCCAATAAACACACAGAGGCTTATATTATTTTCAAACTATATGGCCTAATGGCTCAGGCTTCTTGCTAGCTAGCTCTTATAACTTAAATTAACCCATTTCTATAAATCTATACTTTGTCACATGGCTTGTGGCTTACTGGTACTTTACATCTTACTTCTCCTGGAAGCAGCAAGCAGTTTCTTCTGACTCTGCCTTTCTCCTTCCTCTCTCTCTAGTTGGAATGTCCCGCCTAACCTTATTCTGCCTCACCATTGGCCAAACAGCTTTATTTACCAATCAGAGCAACACATAGTCACAACATAAAGACATCCATAGCACCTTAGGTTATTTAAATATATTAAGTGGCATATTCTGTAAGTCTCTGAAGACCATATATCTAAATATATCTATTTAACCTTGAAAATATATCTAATATGATTACAAGTTTGATTATTATAGATGACTAATAACCTGTTTTTAATTATACATTGCATTTTTAAATGAGTTGCATAAGCACAATAACCCAAACAAGAGTAGAAACATATAGTATAGCAAAAATAACTTCAAATTTGTATCAATAAACAAAAATTCATACCAATGTAAAATATATTGTGGGGGCGTTTACCCATCAACCCCACAGCTTCCCAGAGTTTTCTTGAGTACAAGCAGGAAATATTAGATAGAAGGATTTATAGTGGAGAATCTTGCGGAGATAAACAGATAGAAAATAAAGGATAGCCTCGAGAGGGCCTGGAACCTATTCCAACGGGCCCCGACTGCCTCTGCCCTAGGGTTTTTATAGAGACGCCAAGGGGTGGAGCAAAAGACCTCCTCCTCCAGCACAGCCAAGTGCAGACCATCTCAGACACCTGCACTCAGGCCTGTAGTCCTGATCATCCTCTATGCAGACCTGCTGGGTAAAGCCACGAGGAACCCAAGAACGGGCTCCCACAATATATTAAGATTAATAGTTTTTTGGATTAAAGTAGATTCAATAATCTACCTTTTTATCTCATCATTTCTCTATCCTATCCCTTTTATCTTTTAGACAGAGATCTTTGAATTTAACTCTTTTGTTTAGCCTTTTTTTTTTTTTAAACTATGACCAATAACAACTTGTAACCAACCTCCATTAAATGATAACATCCATAATCCATCTTTTGGGAATGTGGGTATTGTTCTTTAGACTACTTCCTGTTGTCTGTGGTTGCTGGTATCTTTGGGGAAACCTTGAGAAAACCAGGATAATTGTTAAGTCTTAGCTGGAGTAGACTGTGAGGCTGGAGCATCTTAGCCAGCAGCCTTGAAGCTGTTCTGGGTGTAGAATACTGAGGAGACTAACAGAGATGTTCTGAGATGTTGGATCACCTAGGCCATCTGTTTTCACTGCTGTTCAGTCTCCTCATTATGAAAGTACATAAGCTTTTAAAAGTAACACATAGCCGGGCAGTGGTGGCGCACGCCTTTAATCCCAGCACTCGGGAGGCAGAGGCAGGCGGATCTCTGTGAGTTCGAGGCCAGCCTGGGCTACCAAGTGAGTTCCAGGAAAGGCGCAAAGCTACACAGAGAAACCCTGTCTTGAAAAACCAAAAAAAAAAAAAAAAAAAGTAACACACATTTCTGTATTAATACAAGTATAAACTGTGTGTTGTACACAAGTTAGCCAAAGATGAATTTTTGTTTTATGTTTCAGTAGGTAATATATGTTATTTGTTTTGTAGTTTTTCTAGGTTTATTTCTTTATATCTATAGTCAGGATTTTCGGGGGGGGGACTTTCCCAATCAAATATGAATATCAACCTGGAATGAATTCACAGCCTCTCATTTCCTGTGGAAATAAAAGCATATCTTCTCCTCCAAAGCAACATAACTTTTGACTTCTATTTTGAAGTTAAGATATTTTTAAAATACATAGGTTGGTTTAATCTAGTAGCTTTCAAAATCAAATCTCTTAGCAGCTGTCACTTGTTCATCAACAATCAAAAAATTCAAAGACAATACAATAACATACAAGATCCAGACTCCCTGCAAGTTTTCCATCTTTATGTGGCTTTTAAAAAAATATTACTTTACTCCTTCTTTAAGGACTTTATTATTTTTAACTATACTTTTTCTATGACAGTCTATATACCTTTTCTCCTTTCTCTCCCAAGCTTTTGTACATTTTTTAACACACTGTAACCTGTTCAGAGGTTTTGTCTGAATCTGTCTTTACTGCCTCTCTGTAATCTTTTCTGCCTGCATGAGCAAAACTTAAACCCACTGTGCTGCTTAGCTCATGGTGTGCTGGCAACTGGCTCACCCTGGTAGCTCAAGCCCGCAGGCAGCAGCCGGGAGACATGTCTCTGTACCATGGCTGGCCTGAAAGACACGAGACTAGGAAGCTGCACATGGCTCTGCTTTTGTGTATTTATAACCTTTTTTTTAAAGCTTTCTGAGGTCTTATGTGTATGTAGGTGCTGCACATTTGGGCACCACCTCTGTAGGCAGACTTTTCTGTCCTGGCCTCCCACTTCCAAATAACCAGAGATTTATTATTAATTATGTTCAGCAGATAGCTTAGACTTGTTTTTAACAAGCTCTTATAACTTAACCCATTCCTATTAATCTATGTGCTGCCCCAAGGCTCATTTACCTCATGCACATACTTCCTATCCTGCTTGCTCTGTGTCTCATGGCATCTCTGGAGACCCCCTCCTGCTTCTTCTTCTCAGCATTCTTAGTCTGGTTCTCCTGCCTAACCTTATCCTACCTAGCTATAGGCCAGTGAGCTTCTTTAATTAAAGCAATTAGAGACTATGGGGGTCCAGCCCCTCGATAATCTCCTCCCAGGGACTGGGAAGAATCTACAACCAGCTGATAATTTAATCTTTGATGATATGAAATGAATCTATGTACATGAAATACCTTAGTCCATACACTTTATTATTCTGTCAGTTCTCTCTCTACACAGCTTCTATTCTGCTCATGCCTAGCTCCTTTCTTGCCTGATTTGTCTCTACCTTTATCTGCTGTCCCCTCTAAGTTCTATCTCAATTCTCTCATATTAGTTCTGCCCCATCTAGGTTCTCATCCATCCAATTCTTTTCCATCTTAGGTCCTCTCCCATCTCCTTCTTTCTCATCTTGTTCTTCCCCAGCTGGCTCTTCCTCATCTTCCATCTTGTTCCTCTAGTACTCTCTTCTAGCCTTTCAATCTAGTTCTTCACCATCTAGTTAGTTCCTTTCCAGTTCTTACCCATCTAGTTCTTCCATTCTCTTTTCTCCATCTCGTCCTCAAATCCTCTCTCCCAAAATTCTAAGTCTCCTTATGCCTCTCAGTTTTTTTTTTTCAAATGTCTCAGGTATTCAGTTATAAAACCAAGCAATCCTCTGGCTGAGTACAGTCACTAGGTTTGAGTTCTTACAGGGTCATAAAGGCAGACAAGAGTTTTCTTCGGGGAGTGACCATCAGGTTTTCTTTTACAACCCAAAAAGGGAGTGGTAAAGGAGGTCAACTGTGAGCTAACGATCGGTTAGTATATCAAGAAAAGGGGATTTATGTGCTCAGTCTACATCCCTAGAAGTGGTTAGGTAAGACGTTAGGAGTCTATAATGTTAGTAAGGCTGTATAAGAAAAAAGGGTCTCGGCTTAAATTGCACAAGAAATAAAGTTATCTGCCTGACCTAGGAGACAGACGTTGTTTCCATAAAGGTGCTACCTTAGTTCACAAGATTGTATGGCCTTGGATGCTTGATAGGTATTTTAAATAAATACACTGTTTGGGCCGGGCGGTGGTGGCGCACGCCTTTAATCCCAGCTCCCGGGAGGCAGAGCCAGGTGGATCTCTGTGAGTTCGAGGCCAGCCTGGGCTACAAAGTGAGTCCCAGGACAGGCTCCAAAACTACACAGAGAAACCCTGTCTCAAAAAAAAAAAAAAAAAAAAAAAAAAAAAAAATACACTGTTTGGAGTTCTTGGAACCACACATAGCATACAAGAAAATCATTGTGGGAATCGGTGAATATATATACAAAAGCTAAAATATCACCAAGACTTCTTAAGCCATGGCTTGACCTTCAGAAAGGTCCTTGACCTTTCCAAGTAGTAGCTTTTGTCATAGTAGCTGGATTCCATACATTTGCCTGAGGCTTGCAGCACAATCAGTGATATATATTCACACAGTGTAAAGGAAGATTCCACAATGAGCCATCTTTACTGGCCCACAATATCAACTGCTATGCATTGATTTTCATTTATTCACAAAGGCCCTCGACAACCACAAATCTACAAAAAATAATTTATTAATAAAGGATAGCAGATCATTCTGTAACTTCAGCATCCTCGGCTCCTTCACTCTCTTCTGCTTCAGTGGTTGACGATTTCGGCATGGGTGTGATTTCTTCCTTGGTCCCCCTGGAAGAAGAGAAAGGCCGATGCTTTCAGACATTGAAATGTGAAACTTGCCCTAAGCTCTTTACTTGTGCTAGACATTTACCAAGATATATCATGAATGGTGATCTCCTCCTCTGTAGAGAACTCCTTGGACTGCAGATCCTCAGTCCCGCTTTTCTTTTCTGTGTCACATTTGAAGATATTTGTAAGCCACTGTGGCCACCTTAACCAGGCAAATCTTTCCTAGGAAACAGAAGGGGAGACATTAGTTCTGCTACCCCTGCCTTCTCCAGGCACAGCACCGAGTCTCAGGCTTACCTGACTCTTACTGTCCTTGTAGCATTTCTTACCCCTTGGAAGAAAACACATGCAGAAGACAGTTAGTGTGTGTGTGTGTGTGTGTGTGTGTGTGTGTGTGTGTGTGTGTGTGTGTGTGTGTGTGTGTGTGTGTGTGTGTGTAGGGGATATCTTGGCTCTCCCAATAACAAAAAGCACCCCAGCACTGGGACTTGAGAACAATTCTATGCATGTCTGGCTTCTAGGAACTTTCCAAGTCTGTTCTAAGGGCCCCACAATGCCTCTGGGCAGATCTTTGGATGTGGCTTGTCCTGGAGCATAGCCAAGGCACCAGCATGACAATAGCTCCACTTATCCTTTTCAACAAACTTATCCCTTTGAAGAAGCCACCCTGGGCTGGAGCATTTTGCTCTCCTTCAGACCAACTCTCCCATGCAGACTTGCTGAGGTGAGGGAGGGGCTGCTCCTGCGTACCTAGCTGCTTTATCCTCCAAGTGCAATGCCCAAGTTCACAGCACAGCTGACAGACTCACAGAATTTCACCCTGCAGACTGCCTCTGATGAGTGGGTCATGAGAACAGTTTAAAGGGCTTGACTGGCTGAGCATGATGGATCATATCTATAATTCCTGTACTTGGGAGGCTGAAACAAGAGTTCGAGGCCAGTTGGGCCGTGGTGGCGCACGCCTTTAATCCTAGCACTCGTGAGGCAGAGGCAGGCAGATCTCTGTGAATTCGAGGCCAGCCTCGGCTACATAGTGAGTTCCAGGCCAGCCTAAGTGTGAAACACTGTCTAAAAAAAAAAGGCAGTAAAGTACATGACTAGCACCAACACATACACACACACATACACACACGCACACGCACGCGCACGCTATCTTTTCTCAATCCAAGGACAATTAGAAAACTCAGACTTTCCAGACATATATGCTATACAGATTTGAAATGAAACATGACCAAAGCCTGAGCACAGCTGAATTAAAAACTAGAGCCCCACCAGGGAGAATGGTCCTCTTCCTGACATGCCCTAGAGAGTGACCACAGGACCAGAAATTTCTTCCATTCTACTTCATTTCCTCATTAGAAGAAAAGTAACTATTGTCCATATTCTCTCCCAGCTATAGTTCTATGAGGTATGTGTCACTCATTCATTCAGAAGAATAGGCTCAAAAGGTGGCCGACAGGATGAGAAGGTGGGTTTCCCTCCTCCGCATAGGAAGGTCTCATGTTCTACTCACAGCCCTGCATCGTAACACTGTGGCTCCCCTTCTTCTTCCCCAAAGCACCCAATTCTGGAGTCTCGGGTTGGAGCAGATGGCACCAGCACAGTGGTGCGGCCCAAACCTATGGATTCCCACCTCTGTGCTTAGAGGCCTGGAGACACCAGAGGCATCCATGCTAGTTCCTGGCACCTCTCGGAGCCAGGCAAAACAACAGAGAAGATAATATTCTTTCTGGCCATTTTCTCCCTGTCAGATGAGGGAACTAGGTGCATCCCAAGTTCTCTGCTAACTCTCATGTTCTTTTTGAAAGACTGTTTCATATTTACCCTGTGGACTTTTCTTCATCTCCCTCTTTCGTTCTGTGTGAATAAACCTGTTTGGGAAGGAAAAAACAATTCTGATTATAACAACGGCGGACGTCTCTAAATCCTTTTACTTACCTAAATTCTTACCTGCTCCGTGAGCACAGGGGCCTATGTTGCTATTCTTGTCTCTTCACAATACCAACCTCCAGGTTTCACTTGATACATTGTCCTCATTATTTTAGACAAAATTCAGCAAATAATTACTAATAAAATAATTTCTGTTAAAAGTGAAAAGCACGATTTTTTTTTTTTTGTGTGTGTGTGTGTGTGTTTTTTTTGAGACAGAGTTTCTCTGTTTAACAGTCCTGGCTGTCCTGGCACTTGTCCTGTAGAGCAGGGTGGTCTGGAACTCACAGAAATCTGCCTGCTTCTGCCTCCCAAGTACTGAGATTAATGGTGAGCACCACCATGCCTAGCTGGCCAAAAAATATTTTTAAGTTCATAAGTATATACCCAAAGTCTAAACAATGGCATTGTCTGAAAAATTAAGAACATTCACGCCTGCACGCAGAATGGCTTCTCACGTCCTCAACACAAACTAGAAACTCTGAGTACCGCAGCAATGCAGATGTAGAGTATCTGAGAGTAAACTTGGAGATGTGATAAGAGCTCCACACCCCTCCATAGGACACCAAGGAGAAATGACAGGCCAGCCTTGCCTAGAGCTTCCAAAACCAGAAGAGCCGCACCAGAGAGATGGCTCAGCTGCAACCGAACCTAACTGTGATGTGAGCTCAGTCTCTGGGGTCCACCTGGTGCAAAGGCAAGAGCTGACGAATCCCTCTGGCCTCCACGTGTGTGCCCGCTGCACAGTAGATGAACTGTTTGTTTTGAGACAGGGTATTACTATGTAGCCCTGGCTGGCCTGGAATGCTCTGTTTATATTAGACTGACCTTGAACTCACAGAGATCTGTTTATCTCTACCTCCCAACTCATAATTTTTTTTTTTAATTTAAAAAGCCAAGGTGGGAGAGACGACAGATCAGCAGTGAAGAGCACATGCTACTCTACCAGAACACTGTGGTTTGATGTCCAGCACCCAGCATGGCAGCTTACAATGTTACTGTCTGTAACTCCAGTCCCAGGAGTCCCAAAACCCTCTTTGGGCCTCTGAAGGCATTACGTGCATATGGTGCACAAACATACATGCAAGCAAAATCCTTCAGGATTGGGGAACAGGGCACTGTACTTTTGGTTTGGCCACTGGGCCTTAAGTTGCTCTTTCATCCTAGGAGAGGCTTGATAAGCTCTACCTTCCCTGAAGGAGTCTGTGATTCGATCAGACA